AAGCTGCTGAGGCCTAAGTGATAGTGCTTCTGGGCTTTGCCATTCTTCTCACGCCACGTGGTACCCATGACTAATTCTACTCCATTCATCAGGTGGTAGCTTCCTAAAGTGTACCCTGCTTCTTCCCTTTACAGGTTCCTTCACAACTCTCCAAGTTTCCCAGGACATGGATCCAGCTGGACCACACATGGTCCTCAGAGTGGATTTTGCTCTCCACAAACCTTGCTGAACTAATTTTTGAGTTTCTTCCACTCAACAAAAATATCTATCTACATCTTTTTCGTCATTTCTCTTCCTACATCCTAGGCTTCCAGGCTCTTGTCAAATACCTTCCTTATCTAGTCTTTCCAAATACTTGCTCCACACTGTGCTTGGATTTAACCTCTCACCCCTGAGACTAGGCTTACTAATTCTACCCCATTTACTGCCTTACCTACCCTTAATGTTCCAGACGTCACTAAACTAATGGACTTGCCACATACATAGTATTTCTTGAAGAACATCTGAAAATAATGTTTTCAACATGGTTAAGTGTCCAAACAATGATTGATGGGTTGAATTTTAATGATTTCCGTTACAGCTTTCAAGGAAATGTGGACAGTCAGAAATAATGCTCTCTCCATGTAAGCTTCTGCAGGAGGGGCAATACATATTAAACATATTTCAGCATTTTACTTACCACTTTTTGCTTGGTTATCTACCTCATCACCAGGAAGGCCCAACTTTTTTATCCCAAAGTCAGGTCCTACCGACTTCCAGGATATTCTCTGTGACTTTTCACTCCTCTTGTGAGCAAACAGCAAGGAGGAAGATGAGGATTCTGAAGGGACGAGTGTGTGATCTGCCAATGGGTCAATGCTGCTCCCAGTCAGCCAATCGAATGAGCTCCTTTCAACTACAACACATAGGACCAGAACAGTGAGAATGCAGCACAACCTGCTCAGTGTACAAAACCTGCTAGGGCACACCTGCAGTGCTAGACCTCTGCAATTACCTGGGACACTGGGCTGAGATCAAGGGTACTTGGGTCTGACCCGAGCACACCACAGACACCTGAGCCTCAGGACCCTTCCGCAGTGGTAATCATCACAGTAATAGCATTTTATGTTTACAGTGCTTGTCAAAGAATTTTCACTGTGATCATTCAAATTAGTTCTACTTTCAGAAACAACAGGATGTGAAACAAATGCCGAAGTGTTATTCAAAACAATTAAGGGGGGCGGGAGAGGTGGTTCAGTGGTTAAGAGCCCTTGCTGAACCTGCAGAGGACCTGTGTACAGTTCTCAGCGCCTACATGGCAGTTTACAACTGATTTTAACTCCAGTTTCCAGAGATCAAACCCTTCTCTAGCCTCTGCTGGCACCAGGCATGTACATGCACTACATGCATATATGAAGGTAAAGCACTCAAATATATAAAATAATTTTTTAAAAACAGAATTAAGATATTTTATTCTTAATTTATGCTGTGCATATCAAAGCAAGGAATTAATCTGCTGGGAGAGAACAGTCCAATAAACTACTAACATCAGTAAATGAGCCTGGCTGAATGCTACTCTGCTCTTGAGATAAGATGCCTTAAATACGACACATTAAATAAACAGTTTTTTGTCAAACCAAACCAAAACAAGCATGTCTAGCTATCATCAGATGATTCTTCTATTCTAAAATAGTCGTTTCCCCCTCAAAAAATGTGGAAAAACCATATAGTAACATTTACCACTTCAAACACTTTGAAATGTATGATTCAATAGCATTAAGTCCATTTACACCTGCACCATCCAGAATCCTTTCCTCTTACAACAGCCTCTCTCTGTCACCTCCACCTGCCCCAACAACTGTTCCTTTCTCTGCAGACCTGACTACTCTGAAAACCTCTCTCCTTTTGCCCTTTGACTGACACATCTTCCTTATGACCTTTGTGTTACCACTTTATTTCTCTTCCAAAAAGTTTCTGTTCTTGCAAAAGAAGTTGTTGTCAAAGGCCAGAGTGTCTGGTCATTTGTTACCTATGGTTTGTGTCGGGGTGAAATCATACTGCTGTTGAGTGGCTCGCACTTGCCCAGACTTCTGCCTTCGGTCTGAAAGGGACCCTTCCTGGGTTTGGGTATGGAGAATACTCGGCGAAGCCTGGGTCTCAATAAACATTGGAGTGAGCACAGTACTTCGGAAACGCCAGTCAGGATCTATGGTATATTCCTATAGAAAGAAGAGTTTAAAGAAAATAATGTTTCTTTTGTAGTGGCACTGAAATATTTCCATGCTTGCCTGGTACAGTGAGGCATGCCAATGTGGATGGCGGAATCTCTTAAGACCCTACTTGTAGGTGAAGCACCACAGACAATTAATGACAGCTGAAGAAGGGAGAATCAGTCTTCTCCAAGGATGAGCCCCCTAATTGGTTATCCAGTATCAAATGGTCATCCCTAAAAACATATACATATGAAGAACATTAAATGGATTCAGTAAGTTATATCCACATATTTATTTGCACAAGTGTGTGTGTGTATAACAATAACAAGGAAAAAGAGGGCATGAATTTGAGAGGCAGTGGGGGTTGGGAAGCATGGATGGGACCTGTGAGGAGGGAGGAGAGGGATGAGGTTAAATGATGTAAACACTATAAAATTCTAAAAATAAATAAGTAAGTAGACATATGGTACATGCAAATATTTCAAAATCCAAAAATAGCATGAAATTAAACCACTTGTGATCCCAATAATTTCAGGTAAGGGATATTTAATTTGTACTAGGGAATACACAAAGCCCTGCCCATTAAGAAGCACCTGTGCCACTATTGTGGCTACCACAAGAAGCTGCAAACTTGATCTATGATCACAGCTAAGCAAGGTTATGCTTGGTTAGTATTTGGATCAGGCGATGGTTGAACTTTATCTCTCCCAGGAATATGAGAGGAAGAACAGGAAAGCGAGAGGTCCAAATGGAGTCTGAGAGGATAAAGAGTGTAAAACATCAGGGGAAAAGGAAGCACATGTTGTACATTCACATTTCAAGGAAATTAATAATGTTAGTTGAACATTAGAAGATATTAACAACAGGGAAAACATATTTCAAGGGACAAGCACTTCACCTGAAATTCACATTCTGACAGAGGATGCTCAAATATTGGGTTTAGATAATCTGGGCTCATCCTGGTCATTTCAAGCAGAAAATTTGTTGCTAAACTTAAAAAGTGGACTTCTATTTTCGGAGAATATAAAGAATTTAGTGCCAACAATCGGTCCAATGTATTGGATGGTAATCTGGTTTCATGGCTCCAGAAATTCCGAATAATTAATCTGAAAAGTGAAGAGAAAAACATGCTTAGATACCAGCAAATGGAAGGAAATATTGCCCAGGGTCATGTGGGGACTTCACAGCTTTTCATTCACATCACTCTCAGACGAAAGGGAAACTACATCACAATATGAGTATGAATAATCAGGTGTTCTGAAGGAAAATATCCCCAAACTATAGAAAATTTTACAAACTGGATCACTATCTATCCCCTGAGAGTTTACAACAATGAGTATATAGTACTAACCATTTTGAAACGCAAAATCATTTTAACACATATTAGTAGTTGTGGCTCACTTGCTGGTAGAGCACTTGTCTAGCACACAAGTCTCTGGCGTAGATGCCCAGGACCAAAAGCAAGTTTCATAGAATCCTTTACTGCTTTGCTAAAACAACTCTTTGCAAAATGCTGTTATAATGTATTCAAAATTTAAATTAAAATCGTTAGGGCTGAGACTATGGGTCAGTTATTACACTGCTAGTCTGATATATGTAAAATTCTAATTTCAATCCTCAGTATTGTCCAAAGAAAAAAAACAGAACACTCTGAACTTCTCAACAGACAACTACTTATGAAATTTAAATATAAATTGTTAAAGTCCAATGCATTTAAAATTGAAGCAAGTGAAAAATAAGTAGTATGTCAAAGCATATTAAAAACTGTCCTTTCTTATGTGTTTGACATTTGATAAGACACTCACACATCTAAAAATACATAGTTACGGTATTTTAGAGAACAATCTCCACATAGAATAAACATTATGGTTTCTTCCTAATGCTAGGGTGTCCAACACTTCAGATAACTTTGATATATACTATGATTTTAACTATATGTGTTAAATGGAGAATGGAACAGTTGTTATTACAGTTTGCTTCAACTTAAAAATCTTTAACTAACTCACTGCATAAGCACTTTGTCCTAACCATCTTTTCACACGTTTTTTTTTTTTTTTTTTTTTTTTAAACAACCTTTCAAATTTTTAAAATC